GCTCATATCAAAATTTGGAGTGGTGGAAAGGATGGATGCCTCACAGCGATTTAAAATCTCGTTCGAAGTTCTCTAATCCACATTTCATCAATACCGATTCTTCGATGCAAAAATCTTTCACCTTCGTTATCAAATCTTCGTTTTAATAGCATTGTATCAAGCATGACGAACCCATTTGCACAATATTTCCCCTGCAAAGCTGTTGTCAAAATGCGGTATACAGTAAAAAGTCGTTAATCCGGACTCGTCGGGACTTCGGCGATTCCGGATTATAGATCATCAGTTTAAATCTCGTAAGATGGCATGCAGAAGTTCTAAAATTAAAAATATGAAACCGTAATTTATGAAATAAAGAACAATATGATCTAAGGGTATCAAAATTTGCACAAAAAAAAACCTTAATATTTATTTGTTTACTTATTAAACATTTCTTTCAATGTAAGTTGTTTAATTTTTGCTTCTTTTCATGTGATAATACTTTCTCTTTAATTCTATTAAACGACATAATTTCTTGTTCAGTTACAAAGTTCCGCTGTTCAAGTCCTATAATTGCTGTGTCGAAACACCGACTATTTGTCAATCGAAATTTTTTCGTTTCACTAACCTCTGTCACTTTCTTCGCTATCGGAAGCGAATTAAGACAAGGAACTTGTTTTAAATCATATCAAAGACGGAGCACATCGAGATGAAATACTAATTTGGTAAGGATTATAAGCCAAATAAAATAAAAACATCTGCCCTGAAATAAGGATAGTGCTGACAGATCAACTTCCATTCATTACGCGCCCGCTGCGGCGTTCCCCCCCGCCGAGCAGCGTGAATTGATAAAACGGATTTCGGATTTCAAACATACTTTCGCTTAGATCCTTTAATATTAACAATATAATCGGAAATTCTATTTGATATAATCGAAAGTTTAAGCTTACTTTTATAAAATTGCTCTTACAGTCTGCAAAAAATAATGAGCCGGATCCAATTCGAAAATTAAGGAACAACACAATCATCAACATTAACTGAAATAGATAATTTTAGCTTATACGTCCATTATACATAAAACGCGCACGCGAAAACGTATTCTGCACTTGCGCACACTCATATGCGCAGTCGTAAAAGGTCTTACGCGCACGCGTAAACGCCTATGCGCATGTGTCAACGCGGCGCATGCGCAGAAAGTTTTTAGTTTTGAGGTCCGGATTATAGATCATTCCGAATTATGGGTGTCCGACTTTTGACTGTACTGATCAGGGTAAAATGGTTTTAGCTGTGTTATTTCCGCGCATGTTGCTCGATTATCTTCATTCCTAGCTTGTTACTTCCTTCCTCTATTGATCTTTCTGACTTATGTTCATCTTATGCGTCTGATGGGTCCTTCAAGAAAACGAGTTGTACAACCCAACGGAAGACTGTAGTGTGATCTACTGGCTGATCACCATAAACCTCATGCAATGCTGTAGGAAATTCTGTGGAGTTCTACCGCGTAAACGTTTAGTTTTGAAGTACAATCTTTGAATTTCAACAGTCAACAATTCTAGATGTCTGAAGACCGCAGTTCAAACACTTGTCACTTCAAAATGCCATACTGTAGAAAACGTAATTTGCTTTTGGCTCAAATTTTCAAGTGCAGGTAATACAAATAAATGTCCCCATGGTTATAGGTCAATTAAAGAGAATAAGCGCAGCACAATACGTCCAGGAGGGAAGATGGCGAAGAGGAAAAAACCTGCTACCCTTGACAGTATCAAATCTACCTTGAGTTGGAGTTAGTTGATAATATTTAGCCCTTGATTAGAACTTGTTTCAATCGTTTGCGAGGTTGAGACCTTGCGAACCAAACATGTGTATCTGAGTGTTTGCCATCAAAGTCTGAGCTCGAATAAACACTCAAACGCTATGTTTTCGGTTTTATCCGTTTTGTTTGTGCACTCTCTGTGAGCTTTTTACTAAACTGATTGCGCAATTTTTGGTCTCCAGCACTGTTGTAAGCCCAGGTTGGAATTCTAATATTCTTCTTTTCTGCTTCTCGGAGTGGAATGCGACCCTATGTTCTATGGTAATTATTGCTCATCTGGATGGGTACTATCACCCCTCTTAATTTGTAAAAACAATTTAGAATCATCCTGTATTTATTGTAAGCAAACCTTTATTACGCATACGAAAGGTAAACAAAATTATTATTAGACTAAATAATACGAGTATAATACGGCGAGATATAATACAGTCATGTAAAGAAAGAGTTGACGCCGAAACGGCCACGGTGAAATGGCGACTGCGAAAAGTCCTAAGACTGAAAATATTAGCGATTTTGGGTATCAGCATCTCTTTGGGGGAGGAGGAGCGCAAAAATGACTACTTTTGAGCGTCATTTCGGAAACTTTTGATTTATTTCTGAAAAAAATCTGCAGTAGAGGCACATCGATTGATTGTAGAAGGATATAGTGAGGCTGCCTTAAGTAGGAGAAGTTGCCATGAGTGGTTTCAAAAGTTTAATAAGAATGGTGAATTTGACGTCGAAGACAAGAAATGTAACGGAAGGATTAAAGTGTACTAAAACGCGGCATTGTAAGCATTATTGGATGAAGATTCGTGCCAAACGCAAGTAGAACTTGCACTTGCATTAGAAGTGACTCAACAAGTAATTTCACATTCTTTAAAATCATTGGAAATAATTCAAAAGTAAGGAAAGGGGTTCCACATGAACTGAAGCCGAGAAACCTTGAACGCTGGTTTTTTACCCGTGAAATGCTGCTTCTCAGGCATAAACGAAAAGGTTTTTTGGATTATGTAGTCACTGGTGATGAAAAATGGATCCAGTACGATAACTCAAAGAAGAAGAAATCATGGAGACCACCTGGCCATGCTTCAACATCGACAGCCAAGTGGAATATTCGTGGAAAAAAATCATGTTGTGTGTATGGTGGGATCAACTTGGTGTAGTGTTTTATGAGTTGCTTAAACCGAACGAAACCATTACCATTACTACCAAACACATGATGTAGAGACATTGGGTTATTTTAAAAGCAGGTGATGTGAAAAATGAGCGATGCCCTCGCCAAGACTCGAACCTCGGACCTCTCGAATACGCGAGAAATGTGCTGACCATTGCAGAAGGCGGGAGAAATGCCTTTTATACTCCCCTTTTAAAAGGCGACTGGGAATTAGGGGACCAATCGTCAAATCCTGGTGGTGAAGAATCATCATCCACCGCCTTTTTCAGTTCGGGCGCCACTGTTGAAACATTAGGTTATTTCGAAGCAGGAGACATGAAAAATGATGAATGCCGTCGCCGGTACTCGAACCTCTCGATATGCGCCGAGCGTGCTGACCGTCATACCATGAAGGCATGCTAAGAAGGCAGAGAAATAACTGACTGAGCCGAGACTCAAAGAAAAATGCGCCCACTGCAACTAACAGACATGACAAAATTATTCTCCTGCATGATAACGCTCATACACATGTTGCGGCACTGGTCAAAACCCACTCGAAAACCCTCAAATGAGAAGTTTCCCCTTCCCGCTGTATTCAACAGATATTTCTCCTGATTACTACTTCTTTCGATTGATGACGCATGACTAGTGATGAGTCGGTACTACCGAACCGGGTATTTTGTAACGGGTACTGAAAATCGGTACATCCAAGTACCCGTTACTTCAGTACCGAAATCGGTACTTTTCGGTATTCGTTACTTGTGTACCGAAAAGGGTACTTTTCGGTGTTCGTTACTTCTGTACCGAAACGGGTACTTTTCGGTATTCGTTACTTCTGTACCGAAACGGGTACTTTTCGGTATTCGTTACTTCTGTACCGAAACGGGTGCTTTTCGGTATTCCTTACTTCTGTACCGAAACGGATACTTTTCGGTATTCCTTACTTCTGTACTGAAACGGGTACTTTTCGGTATTCCTTACTTCTGTACCGAAACGGGTGCTTTTCGGTATTCGTTACTTTGTAACGAAAATATGCGTCTCTTCTCGGTATTTCGGTATTCGTTACTGGAGGATCGATGAGGGTTCAGCTCACTTCGGTTTTGGTACGAGGACAGTAGTATCTGGTTGTATTTGCGAATCCATGAATGTCCATGAATGGTCCTTGTGTCCATGAATGGTCTGCTCCTCAGACACTTCCGTAGTTGACATGTTTTCTTATATTCAAAATCTTACTCCGTACAGATAAAATCAAACACGTGGTGACGTGGCGAGTTCCTTCAGTGCGCAAAATCGTAGCTGCGTATTTCGGTACTCCAAATCGTTATAGGGTACTTCGGTACTCCAAATCGTTACTAGGGGTACTCCGGTACAGTAACCGTTACTAGGGTTACTCCGGTACAGCAAAAACCGTTACTCTCCGGTATTCGTTACTTCGGTACTACTCCAAATCGTTACTTGGGTACTCGGTACTTGAATCGGTTTTCGGTACTTTTCAAAGTAACGGTTACTTGAGTAACGGGTATTTTGTACCGGGTACTTGTCTGTACCCGTTACTCTCGTACCGGGTACAAGAATGTACCGAAGTTGCCCATCACTACGCATGACCTGTCTGAGGAGCGTGTCATATCATGTGAAGATACTAAAAATTGGGTTGATTTGTGGATACTTTTGAGAGATGAAGCATTCTTCCGACGCGGTATCCTTATGCTGCCAGAAAGATGGGAAAAGTAATGGCTAGCGATGGATAATACTTTAAATAAAACATAACGTTCTTCCACAATAAATGACCAATTTTTCATTAAAAAAAAAAAGCGGAGATTTACTTGTACTCCAAATAACAAAACTGAATTTTTGTCTCAGGAAATGAATTTTCCTAAAATAATGTACCTCGTATACTTTATAAAGAAAATTTCTTAAAATACACTTTTTTAAGAAAATAAAGTCAGCATTTTTGATTGGTAATTATTGCAACATTTAACGTTGACAAAATTTTAGATTTTCTGCTGCGGACTTTTGTGGTATGAATTATAATGGTTACTTAAAATATTATATATGTATTAATAAAAGACACAAAACTTTCGCTGAAAAAGTAATGTTTATTAAATAAGATCTGAATGAAATATGTACGAAATAATTTACACGTAAGTGTTGGCACTCATTCTTTCTCTGATGTCTTATGAATGATCAATGTATCCACATTCTTCGTCGAAGGAAGTTTGGTGCTGGCACTACAACTCTTTGTGGTTGATCGTTGTTATCTGAATAATCAAACTGCAAGGATTCGCCTGAAAAAAAAAAATGATACAATATTTGTAGAGTTAAAGTTTTAAGATTTTACATTACGCTCAAAGGGACTTTTTTTTTTTTTCAACCTTTTATGCGTTATCTTTATTTATTAAATGTTCTTTGCACTTAAACCACAAAATTCAATTCAACAACAATATAGCAAAATAATTTTAAAATGAGCATACCCTTGGAATATCCGATACACATTCTCGCGCGTTGGAGACAAAAATGCTTTTTCTTTTTTTCGTACATTTTTGCTATTGCTCGCTTTGAAATCGTTGAGTTTGTTAATAAAAAATTTGTTAAAGTGTGAAAGTATAAATCGATAATAAAACAAGTTTCAGATTCCAAACTAGAGCTTCCAGATGCCCATATTTGGTGGAAGACTACGTTATTCAAAATTGGATGGCTCTAGGTACCGTTATTTTATTACAATGCGAGAAACAAGCATACATGTGTTCAGATTCTTCATTATTTAATTTCTTTAAATATAACACAGGGCGATGATATTTGGTGGCAAGAATTTGAAAAGTGAAACGAGCATTTACATTTTTCAACGCAAAATGCCAAAACGAAATTAATAGCTCTTCTGGGCTAACGCCCTTTGGTCTAATAATAATAATGACTCTTTCAAGTGAAACGCGTCAGTCCTAATTTGTAATTACGTTAACGCTTGTCTCAGTTTCGCATTTGTTTGTCTAAAAAGATAATTTAAATAAATTCTGTTAAAGCAGCTTTTCTCAGACATTTTCTAAGTGGGGACCACTTGAAAACCACCACGATACCACTTCTTGTCTTCTTCGTAAGGAATTCTTTTGGCAAATGTAACTAACTGACTATCAATATACTAATACTTTAAAATACAAAATTTAAATTCATTCAGTTTTATGTTGGTATTATAATAAGTAAGTTAATCGAAGAAAATTTATATGTTTGTTTTTAACTATTCAAGGCTACCAGAGTGTGAATAATCTTCATATAAAGATTTATTTAATTTTTAGTTAATAAGATAACTTATTAACTAAAAATTGGTATCAGTGCTCATATTTATGAGATGGCGATTCGATAGGTGTTCTGTATTTGGATGTATAGTGTTAACAGCGTGCCATGTGTAACTTCCGAACTTAAGATTTCAGCTGTAGTGTCGTATACGCAGTTAAATTGATATTTTTTCTCTTCTTTGAAAATCTTAGAGGAAGGCTTCGAGGATAACTTGTGGTCTGCTGTGAAAAAGAAACGCTGTGTTAGAGACTTTATTCGTGTAACTTGTAAGAGATAAAGCTTAGACATCATGATTTTTTTTTAAGTTAGAAACATCTTTAACGAAATTTCCTTAAAATGTTTTGGACAATCACTTAATATTACGCTTCATCCACGCAATTTGGTAAATGTTAACACAAACCGAAACATAGGATTTTTATCCTCCACTTAGCCTTTTTCAAATAGCTAGTTACAGAGGATTGCTATTCAGTCTGGTAAAAGACTTTTTAATTTATCTTTTAAATTATAATTATTGAACAGATTGAGCGATTTAACGCAATAAAAGCATTTTATTTTATAATTTGATATAATTTAAAGGCTATTTAATTTTGCAAGACATCCTGTTAGTAATTCTGAACATCTGTAGAACTCGATTAAAACTTTTAAGCATGAATTGAAAGAAAGTTTTCATTATTTCTGATCTAATGATTTTTTTTCTCCAGTTACACTGCATTGGTAATAGCAACTTTTGTTTCAAAGAAATGATTTTAAGCAACGGGATTCGCGAATAAAATCGTTACTATCGATTAACTTATAAAATCGTCCCGGTTTAGGAGAAAAATTATATATATACACTGTTACCTCCAAATGACGTTTTGATAGCTTCTTGGTCATTTGACTTTTCAGGAGGATATTTGTATTGAGATTTCGTTGCAGCTTGCCAAACTGAAATAAATTAAATAATATGTAAATTAATTACTGTTGTATAAAAGAAAGTATATAAAAGTATATTTCATAATATGTATATATATGTGTGTGATGTACCAGCTTTAGTCGTAGCTTAAATTATCAGACGATAAGTTTAAAAAAAAAAAAAAAAAAAAACAGGATCCATTTATTATTATTATTCAGGAGAAATAGCAGTTACAAAATCAGATATCCGGAGTAAATAAAAAGAATTACTAATAATTTTTTGTATGAAGTTTACTGCATCGTGACATTTAAGAAAAAGCCCCCGATATTCTTTTGTGAGTCCTTTTATAGCCTCTGGAAAGGCGGAGCTTCCAAGAAATGACGTCAGCCAATCCAGTTCGCTTTAAATATTTCCAGAACATTCTAGAACTGTACGTGTAGAAAAGGCGGGAAAAACAACTTGACTACGGGAATGTGGATTTAATTCCACGTACTTTCAAATAAGAGAACGTCGCCATTAAAAATGAAAAGAACATACAGTTAGAATTTTAAGTGTATTCTTGACTATGGAATTTTATTATTACATATATATATATATGTGTGTGTGTGTGTGTGTGTGTGTACCATTTTAGGTGCGTAGACGCCCCTAGTATTTTTAGCAGTTTGCAGTCGTAATGGCTGAGTTAAAAATGCAAGATGACGTTGACAAAAATAATTTCGGTTAATCACCATCTTTATTTTTACCTATCTCAAATCATCTTTTTGGCAGACAAATTACTTTTCACTCATCGTTGAATACAATAATTTTTATATACACAGGTAAAAAGATACGACGTCATTTCAGGCAGGAAAGCATAAGCGGCGCAGAGTTGTTTGTATAGCAGAAGTCAGTACAAAAGGAACGTAGGCTCTCGCGAAGCCGTATTTATACTACGTAGGTACTCTCTGTAAAGCTAAGCCGTGACTGGTTAATTTTAGTTTTAGTTACTTTTTTCAAGCAGTGTTACGTGATTTGAAAAGATCTCGAATTTGGGAGAAAGGATGAACTTAGGAGGAGAGCACCAAATCGAGAATGTTAATTTTGAGGCCGCCAATTATTTTTAAAGCAGCTATCGTATTTTGTTATATCTTACATATATATATATATATTGTACAAAAGTAATCAGAATTCCAAAACAGTCAGTTTTTCTTTTGTTGCGTTCTACGGGTTCGTGGATTTGGAGTGATTGACGACAACGCTTGATGAAGCATCAAAGCACAATTTATTCGCCAGTATTACACACGAGAGTTCTAAACACGCATAGCATTCGTCACTGAACACGCTGAAACAATCAGAAACACGGACATCAGGCTACAACGGTGAAGACAGCTTCACGGCAAAGTACTAAATTACAACTCTCGACTCGATCGATCGCTCTTAAGCTAATCTCTGAACTCAAGACACTACTACTGAACTCTACTACTTCAAGACACGCTCCTACTCCGCGTACAGACAGGATATATATAGCTTTTGACTTGCCTTTAAGGACATTCTTGGGGAAAACGGTAAGAATTAGTTCTAGAACGATCTCGCTCTTTCTATTGCATACCGCCAATTTGGTCGTCGAATGGGCGATTTTGTGCCAAATATGACAACCTCATTTTTCCTTGACACTTTCTGGCAACCCTAAGCCCGCTTTACGGAGAAGCTATCTTACCGCAGCAGGGCGTTTCGTAACACCTTTAATCATGCTTCGTGTTTTATTCCTGTAGGTGTTGATTTTCCGGTTTACTGTCGCATATTACTGGACTGAGTTAATTTACCAAATGGCCTATCTACTATGAATTCCTGGTTAGGCAGTGATGTAGCTAGGATTCCAGTGCCTGGAGATAATTGAAGAATTTGCGCCTCTTTCTGTGTGCTGTGTGCCAAGCATGGAAAACATTTAATTAAAAAATTTCGTAGCTTCAACTTGGCGCCGCCTGCATGCTGCACCGGGGAACAGATTTTCCCTTTTCCCTCATCCTAGTTACGCCACTGTGGTTAGGTTAATTGATTTAGGCAAAGCAACTCGAGGGTTATCTCTCCTATAGGAAGGAATGCCTTCGTGGAGGACTTTTTAAGGGTAATTAGCTCGTATCCATGTTACACATGAGGAAAACCACGAAAACCAACCATGCAGCCAGGCAGTTCGCTGAGATTCTGTCCCAGATCGAACTACCAGCGACAGCTCGCCACTAGTGGGCCTCTATGAATCTTAGAAAATGGTGCTAGTGGCTTCTGTTTTAAACCTGAATTTATGTTTAAAGATAAAAGAATTTTTTATCTGTGTATAGTATTAGCTATGTTTTAAATGAATGCAAATTAATAATTATTAATTTTGAAGACTGCATTTGAAAAATTTTGAAAGTAGTCAAATAGTTTTGTATTACCAAATCTTGTTATTTTTTCCAATTTTTAACAGTCTATTTGTAGAACATGCGAATTTTTTTGCTATCACCTGCTTTGAATTTTCTCTGCTTAAAGGTACATCTAATAACCGAGTTTGGCCAAGAGCATTGGACATCTAATGCTCTCTACCACAGTTGCGCCCGAATGGATTTAGATTTTACAGTTTACAATTATTACTAGATTATTACTTACTATTATTAGTACACACAGCAATAAATTTCATATAAAAATTTTGGTTTTATGCAGCAAAATTTTAATTTAGTATTCAATAACTCCATTGTTTATCAAATTAAGGCATTCTTTAAGATTAATAACCGAATTCATTAATTCCCTGAAGACATTTATTTTGATTCTAGATCGAATTCCAGCGAATGGGCTGGTTGTTGGGGTGTTTTAGTGGTTTTTCTTGTGGCTAACGGAAATACGAGCCATCTTCTTTTAAAAAGTCCTCCACGAAGGCATGACTCACTTTAGGCAGAGTTTTCCTCATATATAGCTTGGATACAAGTCAGTTTCCCTTCAAGAGTTCTCCTTGGAGCCATCTCGCCCCTTAAACAGATAGTCCTCGCCTGCTTTGTCATATCAAATAAACCAAACTGTTAGGCAGAGTGCTCTCACCTATTTCGCTATAATTTATTAAACAAACAAAGCGTTTAATGATCAGAGTTGTAATCGACACGTTTGAAGAAGTTAGCTTTATTAGAATTGACGCATTGAAAACTGAGGGAGATAACCCACATGTGCTTTGCTGTAATCAAATAAACTAACCACACCAATTAAAAACTGCGTACTGAAGCAAGAGGAAACAGCAATTGCACCAAACTTAGCATTTATATTTAATTTGATTTTAGCAAAGAAATATTTATTTGAGAAGTTAAGATAATCATTCAAATTAAGGTATTCGCGCAACAGGTCACTTACCGGGATGTATTTATAACAACAGATGACCTAATCTCTATTTCATTTTGGTTACAAGTATGAATCACGTGATTTGGCCTTGCTTATATCAGGATGAGTCTACGCATTCTCGTAACACCCTCACCTCTTTGGCTGAGATCTGTCAATTTGTGTGTGCCATCAAGATGAGAGCATAACATGAATACACTCCTCTGTCTATAAACCATCAGACGAATTTTGTTGATCCTGGTAGTGGCGCCGACACTCAGATGATAGAATGTGTATAGGATCATCTTAAACAATTAAGTTGTGCGGAATATGAAAGCAACAACACCCGCGATGCCGTCCGGTCATCTCGCTGAACTGTGGTGTTGATATTGCCAACAATGGGAACAAATTTCTAGCCATGCGATAGTGCGACTGCGAGAAGTTGGCGTACGATCTTAGAGCCGTTCATTTTCAAGTAGGGCTACCAGGTTAGGAATGCTAAAAGCAGATGATGCTTATATTTACTAACGAGTCTAAATTTATCATGAATTTCAAATTATAATTTCTAACCATAAAAAGAAAACAAACAAACAAAAACCGGTTAACAGTGCCAAATCAGGCAACCACTATAGTTCTGTTCCCACAGAAACATTATCTCTCATCGTATTTGAAGATTGGAATCGCTTGAAACCACGTGACTTAAACACCTTCTTCTCAAAGCCGAATTATAACAAACATCAGAACAACATGCTCTTACAGTGAAAAACCAAACTGTTTTTGCAATCCCTAATGAAATTGTCAATACCATTAAATGATTAAAAATTCAAAAAGCAACAAGTTTGGACAATATTTCTAATGTTGCAATCAAAAACTTGCCAAAAAATGTTATTGCAAAATTTACTAGCATCATAAATGCCTGTTTGAATATTTCTTACTTCCTTGAACAATGGAAATGCACGAAGATCATCCTTTTACCTAAACCTGTAAAAACAAAACCAGGGTAGATGATTACAGGGTCAATCAGGCTGAAGAAAATTTTTTGAAAGATTCATTCCTTGTAGCATGCAAAGATTATCTTGAACGTCTACCACTTGAATATTTCGGCTTCCGAACAAATCTTCCTACTACCACACAATTAGTAAGGCTTGTTGAGTTTGCTGCCGCGGTTCTTCATAATCGGCAAAATGTTGCCTTACTCATGCCGGCCCTGGCGAAAGCATTCGGCCGCTTCTCGCATGTGTGGATAATTCACAAATTAATAAATACGAATTTCCATTGTGAAGTTATACTTCTAATTATGTCCTTCCTTACAGATATCAAATTTACAACTACTATTGGTGAAGCAGAGTCGGATTTGCGCGAAATAAGGCTGGCGTTCCACAAAGCTCTAGTTTAAGCCCTATCCTCTATGTGATGGGATTTCCCAAACCAGTATATTATACAAATTATTTTATGGGCTGTTAAGCTGATTACACCGCCTTGGCAGTCAAATCAGTAAACGTAAATCATGCCATCCGAAAACTCCAAATGTTAATGCCAATGACTGAAGCCTGGGGCAAAAAATGGAGGATGCCCATCAGCTAAAAAATCTCAGTCATTAATTATGTGTAAAAATCACGTGAATATTTTCCATAAGAAAATCCTGTCTCTCTTTGATGAAATTATTCCAAAAGTTCGAAAAGCCAAGTATCTTGTTGTTATTTTCAATAACAAACTTACCTGGAAGGGTTACCTGGAAGGGTCACATCGAAAATGTTCAGAAAAAAGTCATCAGCTGTCTCTTTTCAATTACTGGCAATCATTCCAAATTAGATTTAAGAAAGAAAGGTGTCATTTATATCTCAATTGTGCCACTGTGCCATTGCCCAGTTATGCTGATTGTGCCAGTGTCCTTACTTATGCATTACCGGTTTGGACTAATCTTCCCAAAAATGACCTACTCAAACTCCGACATGTGCAAAGTAAATATCTGCATATCATTATTAACGCACACTTCTACGGACGCAATCAAATATTGCACGAGGACTTCAAAATTGAAACTATTGATAAGTTTCTCAACAAAATCAATAAATAGAAATTTCTATAAGAAAGCTACTTCTTGTAACCACCTCACAAATTTCAACTTGTTTGTATATTAAATATGCCGCACACTTCCTAAGTGATTTGAATTTCCCGACGTAATTTCTACGCATGCGCTCCTTGTATGTGTATATGTTGTATATAGTTCTTTTTCCGTCACTTTTGAATTTCTTGTTTGTTTTTATCCCTATTATGAATTTCAACTCATATTCTAATCAACTGAGACTCTGGTTTGATCTTTTCCAAGCCTAGGAGAAATGTTCTCCTCTGTTTCCACATTTATTAAATTTTCTTATTTGGGAATCTCACTTGATGTGTTTTACGTGAACAGCCTTTAGGGCAACATTGTTACTGAGTAGGACACATTGGGGAATTCGCAATATCGCGGCATAACGGTACCGATATGTTTGTGTGAACAAAAAATAGAGAAGGTTATCAGTGTGATTTTATACCTGATTATCGTTATAAAAGTATGACTTTTGACAAATGTGAAACAGGACTGCTTCAACTGCCTGATGTCAAATAAGATCGCTCTAATTGCTTTTTTAATTTTTTAAAATTAAAAAAGATGATGACCGTCGAGGGATATGATAGATACTCTTCAAGAACCCACCAGTGATTCTTCTGGTAATGCTTATAATTTAATATGGTAATGTAACAAATCTTCTGGTAATGCAATAAAAGTAATGTATAATAAGTAATATAAGTATAATTTTTTACGCTTATTTATTTATGTACTGCTGCTTTTCGTGTGATTTAATACAGTGTTGTTATCAGTTTCTTTGGTTTTGATCGTAGTTCACGTGCGATAACTTATCAGACGAGTGGTAGGTTACTTGTTGCAAGAATACCCAAGTCTTTTGTTTGTTAGCTTTTTGTACGTGTGGTTATTTCGTTGTTCGTTTATTAAATAGGAATTTAAATCGGTAATTTACTTTAAGTTTCTTTTCTTTATCTGATCGCAGTTTTTCAATACACAGCAATTAGTATGTGTTAATCTAGTACTAAAATACAAACAAATATGAATTTTCGAGGTATGCTTACTTAGTATGGAGGCATTACGTTGATCTGGATCCAGCAGATCAAGAGTGTGCTCATCGTAGTTTAATAAGTTGGCGATACCATGAAGTGTCATCACTTTTCTACAATCTGCAAAAGGAAAAGAAATAAATATACGGACCTTTCATTGTTTACATAGCTTATCATCATTATTGTAACAAATGTTCCAGAAATATAACAGATGGAGAAGCATTAGCTTGAAAATTAAATTTTATTTAACTTTAGATTGGCATTAATTTTAGAAAAACAATGGCTTCTATTTGAGAGAATAGCACACAGATGTTTCTCCATTTACATGATGAAGTTACAGGTGTTTCTTTTCATTTTCAAGAACAAAATATTTAATAGAATATTTTATTAGAGTCGTTTTATAATAGAATTTTTATCCAAATTTCATCATTTAAGCACAAAACCAAAATTGATTTTTTTTTTTAAATTTTGGCGATATTTATTGTGCAGGATTGAAGAGAAAGCGTAAAAGGATTCAAAAAATGATTTATCTAAGGCAACACTGAAAGAACGATATTGGGGAAATAAATAAAAATAAAAACGAAACAAAATCTGAAAGCTTTCAGATTTTATTTATTAAAAAGAGCCGTTTTTTTTTTTTTTTTTTTTTTTTGTTTTTTTTTTTTATTTTTTTTTTTTTTTTTTTTTTTTTTTTTTTTTTTTTTTTTTTTTTTTTTTTTTTTTTTTTTTTTTTTTTTTTTTTTTTTCTTTTTTTTTTTTTTTTTTTTTTTTTTTTTTTTTTTTTTTTTTTTTTTTTTTTTTTTTTTTTTTACTTTTGTGGGTACGTTAATGAATTAAATATCATGTACTTTGCTTCGCCCTTAAACCATAAAATTCAATTCAACAGCAGTATCACTCTCGTACACGCCTCGTGAAAATTTGACGGCTTCTAAACTCTTAAAATTTTTGTCTTCGCTAAATCGTACAAAATCACGAAGTGTTTTCAGTAACTGAAACAGTTTCGCCACTCCCTGCGAATTTGAAATTACGCTTGTCTTCTGTAAAATAATAATAATAATAATAATAAAGTTGTGTGCTTAGTTTAAAGCAGTGTTCTTAAAAAAGCTTTTTCAATGCTTTTGTTGATGTTTTTGTTTTGTTTAGCAAACATTTGTTTAAGTATTTATGGAGTCTTCTTATGAGGAAATACATTTTAAGATTTTTTTTTTTCACTGAAAATACTATGAACGACTCTGCAAACAAAATGTTTCCTTCGCTGCATAATAAATGATATGGCCCCTTTCGCGAGGAAAAAAAATCTGACGTGTACACCACATGACTTCCTTGTACGGAATATTAAATTATATATTGCATTTTTTCCTGCACTTCATTTAAACTTATTTCCACGAATTTCATTAGACTTATATTTATAATACAATTCAGTTCTCACTTTGCGGGAATTCAAAAATAATACATAAAACCTCAAAATATCTTTTTTAAATATAGAAAAATATAAAATACCAAATACATTTAAAACAATTATTCTGATTAAAATTAGAATATCTACAAAAAAAAAGAAAAAAAAAAAAAAAAAAGGAGATGCACAACTACGTGTTGTAGCAGTCCTATGCACAAAATTTCAACGTTCTGGGGCTGCTCGTTTTTGAGTTACGAGAGCGCACGTACCATACGTTGCAAACGTCACGAAAAAAATTTCTTCTGAATCCATTTTAAATCCTTTTTATAATCCATTTTGGGAAAAGGGAATCTTATTGTGTTCTTACGTACAGATGTCACTTAAAAACATCGTTAAACTGCATTCGATAGCGGTCAAAATGGATATTTTCGTTGAAATATGATACCCGAAAATTTTCGTAATTACCATATTTACTTCGTACAAGAAAGTAAAAAAGAGTTAATTTCGTAAATCGTGAGAATGTATCGATTTATTTAACGTACGGTATTTTAGCATATTAAAATACCAGGAATTCTTGCAAGAGGTGTAAACGAACTGCCTTAAGAGAAAAGGCATTACTGAAAGTCCTCTTGTTCAAGCTATAATTTAGGGCACTATCCTTAAGAACATTTTATGTAAAAAAAAGTAAACACCTTAAGCGACTTCACTAATACACCTTTCTTTCAGAGGCTAATGATCTGCTGTTCCATTTTATATCTTTTGTATAAAACAAATGGAAAGGCGTTCTTATACACATTTTAATTCCGTTAAAAAATTAGGGAGTATACTGTTAAAACAAAAAGGAATTTACGTGTTACAAACGAATATAAGCCGCAAGAATAGAAACTGTTTGGCGAAGAAATAAACTGAACCTAAGACAGAAGTAATAAATTGAACAATGACAAACCCGGAAGTGCGAAAAGTTCAAAGAACCACGGTGCCCTTGACGTTTCCGTTTTATGGTCTAATTTCAAGGCCACATTTCCGTGTTGGTGGGATTGGTCTGTAAAAAAACATCTCTATTGTTTACTTCAACTATAATCGTGAGCTTTTATGAACCAAGCATATGCTTGATTTCCCTCTTAAATTGTCAGACTTATGAAAAAATGCACGCAAATATTGGCAGTGTATTGAATTTAGCCTTCGGGTAACAGCCGTAAATTTCACAGCTGTCTATTCCTGAAGCATTTTATGTGATCATTATGAATGTGATGTACAGAGACGTCAACAGAATTTACTTACCGTGAAATGTTTTAAAAATAAATGTCTCCAATTCCAGTGGAAATAATTAGGCATCATGATTGTTCCGATTATTATTATTCCCCCCTTACACACTAGAAAACGGTATTTTCAAGGCATCCGATGTTGATTATTTGAAAAATTGGAAAAAAGTAACTTTGAAAAATAAGCAGGAAATAAAGAAAATGTTCAGTCTAACTTGCTAAAAGCCGTCGATCAAATTCAGAACGTCATTTATAAACACGGTTATCTGGAAAGCGGATTAACAGGTTGATGCAACAAAGTTCCAATTATCCGAACTAAGTGCAGTCCTGCAATTTTGCATAACAATATTTTCGAGACGACCATCGTCAGGCTTGTTGCCACAAAAAGAAAAAAATAACTCAATTTTACAAATATCCTTTTTAATAATAACGTTGTTGTTGTCACTAATGCTCAGTAGTCTGACGTAGTCAGCCCAACCACACGAAATTCCTCGTGGCGAGGAGCCCTAGATTACGCCTGTCGTTGGCAACAGCCTTGAGCACCTAACAGGTGACAGTGCGTTTTGTCTCAGTTCCGCCCCCCCCCTCCAATTTTGATGGAGAGCACCAAGGAGGTTAGAAAGGAGGCCTGTTCTAACCTCCTTGGAGAGTACACCAGGCGGATGAGTCCGAGGGTCTCCCACCCTTCACCCCTTTCCCATGAGAGGACTTTCGACTCGCCGCATATTTGAAGTGCTGCCATGCCGCGCTGCCACTGTACATTTACAAAGATCCATGCCTTCTCCGGGATTCGAACACGGGCCTTTCGGCACGGCAATCAGCGATGCTAACCACCATACCGGTTGGGGGGCCTTGTACTCTTACCGAGAGAGTGAGGGTTAAATATGGAATTACAAATGTTACAGATGTTGGAATTAAATATGAAAAGTTGAAAAACTTTGCAAGAGATTTAATTGGTATAGTTAATAAAAATAAAGAAAAGATAGGACTAGAGGGATGAATGATTGGATGGACAATATATGTTGTGTGTTTTAGTTTGTGAATGTTTACGTGTAGTTTTGTTTTATGTTCTAACTTTCTAACATTGTCTTATTAGTCCAAAGGGGCTTTGTCCCTGAAGGACTATTGTTTTCGTTTTGGCATTTTGCGTCGGACTCATAAATGTCGGTTCACTTTTCAAACTGTTGCCACAAAATGTTAGAATCCTGCATTATATTTGAAGAAATTAAATAATGAAAATCTGCTTAAATGTATGTATATTTCTCACATTGTCATAAAATAACGGTACATAGAGTCATCGAATTTTGAATAACGTAATCCTCCAACGAATATGGGCATGTGGAAGACCAAATTTGAAATTTGAAATTTGTTTTATGATTGATTTATTTCCTATTTTTTAAAACTTTGACGACGAATTTTTGATTAACAAACTCAAGGATTTCAAAGCGAGCAATGGCAACGTTGTGCAGAAAAAACATTTTTATCTCCAGCGCGTGAGTCCTCTGTATCGGAAATTCTAAAGAAATATGCTCGTTTTAAAACTATTTTTTGCGATATTGCTGTTGCACTGGATCTTACGGTTTAAGTGCGCGGAAACATGATATTTAAATAAAGAAAGGTAACACACAAAATGTTAAAAAACGCCCCTTTGGACGTAATTTAAAATCTGAAACATTTCAGATTTTGTTATTTTAATATTATTTTATTTAGTTAGTTATTGTGCGTATGTGTGAATTTTAGGAAAAGATTTTATGGCTTGCAACCATTTATGCTTGTATTTATTATTTTGTTATGTTTCATTATCTAACCTTTATGTTACTCGGGTCCAGGGCCTGGTTTCTCGGAGTTATTTTCAATGATAATTTTATAGTTGGTTTATTTAATAATTCTATGCTAATTTTTGAGCACGGCCGGCTCGTTGGCTCCGTCGTTTTTGTGTTGGAAGGGCTTGCCCGCTTGAAGTCATAAGGCCGATTTCTTCGGCCAGGGGGACTGGGAGCTGCGCCGACCGGTTGGGGTTGGCCTAAGAATAATGTTCTTTTTAATAGCAACATTTAGAATAAAATAAGTCTCATTATTATTTTATTGTTTTTAAATTTTTGTAAAATTTATATAGATACATATGTTAAAAAGTTTGTCTCACAGAATGGCGAAAATTAATTTGGGAAGTCCTGTAAAATATTGCATCGCGCATACGGATTAATTGCCTACAGAACCGATGATATCTTGGTAAAATTTATTTTCCCAAAAGAAACGCTATAACACAAAACAAAGTCTCAATGTGTAAGCTTGCAGAATGTTCGCTTCATACTCTCAATACTCTGAGCTAAACTAAACTGAGAACTCAGATTCAGATTTCATCCATCGCAATTTGGTCTCAATCTCTATGAGTTCCTGCCAGTAAATCAGAGTAGCCATAGGCAAATCACTGATTGTAGAAAAATAAAATGTACTTGTGGACATCTGTCACCCGGAGGAGTGGAACTAACAAGACAAAAAGTCTGTCGATCGTAGTCGAGTAGGTGGCAAAAGTCATGCGTTCTTTAATAGTCGTGCAAGCAAACGTAACATATCTTAATTGGTCGTATTCAATCATAAAGAAAACAGTTCAGTTATTTGAGTTAGGAATTTCTTGCGAAAAATAGTTCGAAGTAGAGAGCACTTTTTGATCACGTGATAACAAAAAAACACAATTTAAGTATTCTAGTAAGTGCAAAGCAATTAATTTCCCCTTCACATTAACAGTCAGTCAGTCGATCAATAAGGTCAGTCAGTCAGTCGTTGACATTAACAGTTCATTCACACTTAGCTTTAGTAATTATCACACAAAGTCCAGCAGAGTAAAAAATTTGAATAAAAGTGTTGGATTGGTTGAGAAATTTCAAGAGGCACTTCCTGATAGATTATGTTAATTTATAAGCAAATTCTAGTTTCTATGTGATTTTGCAGGCAGGATACTTCTTAGTAAGATAATCTAAGATACACAGAAGATAACTGATAGATGAAATGAGTTGGTTAATAAAATAAAAGTAGAATAACACAAAATTAGCGAGCAAAGTCCTTTTCCTGCTTTGCCAGGAGAGAAACAGAGTCTATGAACCTGCTTTGTCACGTAAATAAGAAAAACACAAATCTTGCGAAAACTATATACATATATACAGTTACCAAGAAGCACTGTGGTGAATTATGCGCGTTCTTTGTACAGTAAGACCCCGCTTAACGCTGTTTCGTTTAGCGCTGTTTCGGTTTAGCGCTCTTTTATTTCAATCCGGGGATTCCACGAAATCGCTCGCAGCATACGGGGATTCCCCGAAATATTATGCAGCGATAGGTTTCAAATACATATCCGAAAGAGTGTACTTGTATTTCTTGTTTGTGCGGTATTGTACGACATATTTGAAGGGGTAAATGTGGAAGATGTCGAAGAAAATTCAAGAAGCAGCGGCTAGTCTTTCTAATGATGAGCTCAGGAATAACTGAACAAGAAGAAAACAAAATGTTGTTGACAGCAGGATTCAGAAGAAGCAAAAAAACTTTCGATGGCGTTTGTAAAAAGGAGTTTTTGTCTACCATAACTGAAATAATGGATCAATTCATTGAAATGATTCGAATTTTGACAGAGCTCAAAGTAAGGCGTGGTGTTAGAGATGCTCTATCCGTTTATGAAGAACTTTAAGAGAAACAACGCAAAAGAAAAAGGCAAACATTAGATGCTTTTGTCACAAAAGGCAGAACACTGAACGCGGAAGGCTAACTAAATATGACTGACTGAGAATTTTTATTTGTCTTTTTTAAAGAATATTTTTGTTTTTATATTTTGTTTTTATTTTTGCAAAAATAATAATGTGGTATTAATTTTGCTTTAATAAATAACTTTTGGTTTTATTTTTATTAAAAAAACATACATTTTAAATTAATACCTAACCAATTTCCTGCCGTCTCCCCTAACCCCAATACTTAAAGATAGCCTCGTTTAGCGCTGTTTCGCATTACGCTCTACTTTGATGGAACGTATCCCTCGCGTTAAGCGGAGTCTTACTGTACTACGCTTTCAATCGTAGAGTCATAATCACTTAGATTTCTAATTGAAGTATAAAAAGAATTCCGCAAACTTTCGAAGAAATTGTGCGAAGTTATGAAGATTTATTCCTGCATTGATTTTATCTGCAAGTCATTCTGTATATGAGAATTCCTGAAAATCCAAGGATTCCACTATGGTTCTCAGAATTTTGTTTTGAAATATATCTAGACGAGCTCTATCGTTTTACTAGCTGTCGCCCAGGCCAGAACTGCATATAACATAATAGGCCTAATTAAAGCAAAATACATGGTTCTTTTTAATTTGATAGTAAGTTTTGAATTTCTTCGATCGTACAATAAAGAGCCATAAAAGCTGCATTTACTTTGCTTAGCATTTCTTTTATTTGATAGCCAAATGTAAGTCTGTTATCGACTATTACACCCAGGTATTTGTAAATATTCGTGGTGGGAACTATTTCATTTTTAATCTCGATATCCGTTTTTTCGGTACCTTCTAAATAGTACAACGCAGCATTTGCTTGAATTTAATTTAATCTTCCAATCATCACACCATTTTGTGACGATATTGACTTTGAATTGCATTTTATCCAATACAAGTATCAGATTGAGGGAATCTGTAATGATGACGGTGTCGTCCGCATATTTCAGCAATTTTGCATCTAGAGGGTTTGGAAGATCATTAATAAAAATATTAAAAAGGTTAGGTGCAAGGACCGAGCCTTGCGGAACGCCACTATAAATAATTTTCTTTGGAGAGATAAACTGAGAACTGATGCTCTCTCCGGTCTTAAATAGTTTTCCTCAGTCCGCCGAAATATTTCCAGTACCTTCTATTTCTTGAAATTATTAAAAGTCATATACAGTTATAGTTGCATATTGGACCGGATACTGTTACAGTTATACACAGGGATCCTATCTATTACAGTTACAGAGGGATCGGACCAGAATGGCGTCAACTTGTCAAGTCTGGCAACTTTGGGAATTTCTCGCGAAATTTGGTGACGAAATTAGTCGCCAAAACCATCGCCAACTTGGCATTTCCAAGATAGCCATTCACCTCAATGTTAAATGGACTTGCCCTTGTAACATATTTTTCCTTCGAAGCTTCGAATTTTTTAGGTATTTCATGTTACATTATAAAAGAGATGCTATATTTTATATATAGTTTCACTGAAATAATTTACATATGTAAAAAATTGGTAATAACACTTTTGTGTCGAATTTTTAATGTGTCCACGTTTTGTAAATTACTCCCTTTCAACAAAATTGTTTAATGCAATCTTTATTTGTTTTGATCGATGTAAAAAATCTATCATACGAACATAAATAGTTAAAGATGAAGATTTAATTTAGTACTATTTTTTTTTTTTTTTTGTAAATAAACTGCAGACACTTGTTTATAGTATTAAATTTGCATTTATCTGTATAGCTTATTGTTGCCACTCGGAAAAATGAGCGCGGAAATTAACGTTTCTGCAGTTTTTAATTAATATCTCGGCGGACTAAAGTCGTACGAAGATGAGAATGGTATCGATGGATTCGGAAAATTTTTTGGAAACCGAGGATACGCGTCTCGATTTCAACTCGGCCGTTCCGTAAATTCGAAAAAAGAATTTTGCCGTAGCCAAATCCCTGTAATAGGGAAACCCCAAATGAAAGTGGAAAATGTGGGAAAACGTTGAGGAAATTAGTTTTTAATTAATATCCCGGCTAAAAGTCCCAAGAAGACGCGAATGTCAAATGGCGGCCACGGACCTACGGATCCAACGGTGTGCTTCGCTAAGCCCGGGAGCCAGCTGTTTCAGAGGAGATGATGTTACTTCACTACATATATGCGGCTTAAGTGTCTGTTTAAATTAGCAGACACCTTTGCATAAATCATTTTAATTACAATTTATAATATCTAGAACAGCGGTCATTTCGTATGACCGCCAGGCTTTCTAGTTTTTAAATAAAGAAGCAAAAGTTCACTGAATGATTTAATAAAAAGGCAAATAAAATAATAAGACCAGAATAAAAGAATAGTATTTATGACGGTCGAGTAAAATAATATTTTCATAAGGTTTCTAGCCCTTCCTAATAAGGCTGGTTTTCCAGGCCATATGAATACAGCCCATAGAGTATTTTCGCTTTGAGGTTCTTTTTGTCAGCTGATAAAAGGGAAGTAAGTGTAACGTGCAGCAGGTAATATAGATATTTCTTTTATTAACTTTTCAACGAAATATTGCACGAGTAACAGGATTTTCTGGCGGAAAACAAAATGCCAGAACTCATCTCGTTTGTTGCTGCGGTTGGAATTACTGTGAAAAACTAAAGAAACGTAGCTACGCAGCGACTGAGTTCAAGTACTGATTAATTTTGAACTTATAGATACTGCACTAGATTAACCTAGGATCTCAGTGGGTCTGAGATCAGACATTCTACAGTGGCATTGCCTCAGCTTTTATCATTTTCTACTCGATGATTTAGGATCTGAGAGTTATGATTGAAGTAAGATCTGCTTAGAAGCTCTCTTCGTGAAACTGTATATTAAAACGTTACTAAGTTTTGATGTAAACTATTATAATTATTCTTTGCTATTATAATTATAATTATTTTTTCCCATTCTTATACAGTTTAGAATGCGACTTCTAGCAATGCATCCAAATTATTTTATCATAATTTGGAGTCTAACAATCAAGCAGTTTTCCACATTATTCCTTTATCTGGAGTGATGCTTATGTACTTATTTGTGATCAGAGGCTTTTCGTTTATTAAGAAGAAATTTATATAATAAAATCATTTATAGGTTATAATAATATTAATAATAGTTATTATCTTATTCAATCCGTTCGACAGAACCGCTAGACATTTTTTCGGTGACCAATGAGTTTCAATATTTATTCAGGCATTTATCTATACATAGCTAGGCAACTGGTTGTTAAGTTACTTCATATGCACAATTATGCGTATCTAATTTAATAAACCTGCATTTGTATAATGCAGTACTATCTGCAATGTTATAGTTAATCAGATGTTAAGAATTATCTTACCTGCAGATGGTGATGTTTTGCAGAACCTCTCTACCAAATGGACATAGGTGTACATTAACCGTCCCATCTGAAATAAAAAAGAAAGATATAACATAAAAAAAAAAAAAAATTGAAATGTTTCAGATTTTAAATTACGTCCAAAGGGGCGTTTTTTAACATTTTGTGTGTTACCTTTCTTTATTAAATATCATGTTCCTCGCACTTAAACCATAAGATCCAGTGCAACAGCAATATCGCAAAATAGTTTTTTAAAAACGAGCATATCTTTAGAATTTCCGATACAGAGACTCACGCGCTGGAGATAAAAATGTTTTTTTTTTTTTTCTGTACAACGTTGCCATTGCTCGCTTTGAAATCCTTGAGTTTGTTAATCAAAAATTCGTCAAAGTTTTAAAAAATAGGAAATCGATCATAAAACAAATTTCAAATTTCAAATTTGGTCTTCCACATGCTCATATTCGTTGGAGGATTACGTTATTCAAAATTCGATGACTCTATGTACCGTTGTTTTATCACAATACGAGAAATATACATACATTTATGCAGATTTTTCATTATTTAATTTCTTCAAATATAATGCAGGACTCTAACATTTTGTGGCAACAGTTTGAAAAGTGAACCGACATTTATGAGTCCGACGCAAAATGCCAAAAACGAAACTAATAGTCCTTCGGGATTCAAATCCCTTTGGACTAATAATCTTAAGAATATCCGATACACAATGTCGCGCGCTGGAGATAATTTTTTTTCCTACAGTGTTGCCATTGCTCGCTTTGAAATCGTTGAGTTTCTTAATCAAAAACTCATAAATGCTTTAAAACATATGAAATAGATAATAAAACAAAATTCCAAATTAGTGCTTCCAGATGCCCATATTCGGGTGAAGACGTACATTATATCAAAATTAGGTGGCTCTAAATACCGTTGTTTTATCACAATGCGAGAAACATACATTCATTTATGTAGATTCTTCATTATTTAATTTCTTTAAATATAGTACAGGGTTCTAATATCTGGTGGCAACGATTTGAAAAGTGATTCGCAGTTTATAGTGAATCAACAAAAAATGGCAAAACGAAATTAATAGCCCTTCTGGACAAATTGCCCCTTTGGGCAATAATAAGAATTTTAAAACAAAAATGCTAGTTTTAATGTAATCCATTTTAAATAATTTTAAAACATTTCATTTATCTGCTTTCACAGTACGTAGCTCACGTTCTGTTAAAATATTCAATACTTATTCTTATATTTATGTACAACTTGTTCATTCCATTGTTAGTGTATCCCAAATGGGATTCCCAGTGCTCAGAAATATATGTAACCGTCTGACATTTTTGTCTATTAAGTCTTCGACAAGGAGATTAATATCATACAAGAAATGTAACAGAATCATTGCTTAATACTTATCTAGAATTACGGTAACAAATAGTTTTGCATCGAAATGCATACAAGCAAAACCTCTGAAAATTAGAAATTAAGTAAATGTTTGAACGACCTTTATGTAATTCGTATATTTATTTGATATGACACCACTGGAAATGGCGATAAATTACAATTTAGTAAAAGACCGTCTCACAGTCATTTTGATGATGAATTGACACTGAGGGCCATTGCATATTTGATAACATCTCCGAAGTGGACAAGGTCAAATGGTGACAGGTTTTTTTTTTTTTTAAAAAATCATATAATTTTAAACTAACAATGTGGCTAAAAATTCAAGCCAAGCTTGTCTAAATATAAGGATTTTTTCCAAAATTATAAGTTGCAATTAAATACGCACTGCTGCCTGTAAGTAAAAGCTTCATCTGGAACAACGGTATTAAAGAAAATGATGTTGTTATTGTTGTTAACTGATCCCAACTGGTTAGCAATTAGACCAGACCAGATCCATGGAAGAGACTGGTTCACAGAATGATCCAAAGAGAAGGGTTCACAGAGAATTAGCAAAGAAGAAACTTTACACCCGATAACCAACAACTAGAATTTTCTCTGTCCTTTCCTTAAAGCATACTGACGGTCATACTGCTGTAAATATCATTCCTAGACACAAAGATAATGAACTTTATCCTGTTCTTTGAGGCGAGATTAGTGTACAAGTGGACACTTGATGTGTTCCTTTTCTGGGAGGATCGTTAGATTCATTATCATTCATCCAGCATAATGCAAAAGAACGGTATGGTTAAACTATTAGCTTAGAAGCGAAAAAGTACTGACGGTTGTATATCTTGAATGGAGGGCAAGGTCACCATCCGGTAAAAACATTTTCTAGTGAGTTATATAAGTAAAAGTAGATTTGGAGAGGAAAGACTAAATTTATATTTGTTTTTCAGAGCCTGATGAAGATATTGTGGGGTGCTAGCTATAAGCGTTCTTTCTGGAGCTCAAAATAAAAAGGTTTCTTAAAATTTGTTAGACATTGCTTTGAAAGGCCCATAACCTTTTGAGGCCGAGGCTTTGGTAGCAGTAAAAGTTACCAAAGGACGGGGAATCTTGAACCGAATGCTTTCCCTCCTTTAAGAAATCACCTCCTATTTGCTACAAAGATTCTTGTGTGTAGTTTAATGGATTCTCAGAGGGGGGCATTTATGTAGCAAAAGGAAGACCTTTGAAAGAGATACGTGGTTAAAACCGTAGGGACGTCAAATTTGACATCTCACCTCACTTTTCAGCCTGGGAAATGGGGGAAAAAGACATGTCCACTAAAGTGGACAACCCCGTCTTTTCAAAGACAGGACTCTATGGCCACTATAATGGTCATCCCGTCTTCAAAAGGTTAAACTAAGCGGTAATCAGACTCTGAATGTAATATATCATAAAGTATTTTCTCTCTCCTTTCTGCATGCCTCCTCTTTCCTTTCTGCATTCAAAGCACACTCGGCGCGTATTCCAGAGGTCCAGGTTCGAGTCTCGGCGAAGACATTGAACATCTTTCACGCCTCCTGATGCCAAAAAATCCTTAATACTATACAATATCATAGATTAACTCAATGTAAAACTGCTAAATTAATATATATCATCAGACAAATATGGAAAAAAAAAAGTCAAAACTCATCTCAGAGATAGAATGTCTCTATCAAGCTTATAATTTTAAGATTTTTTTAAAATTTACGTACATAAAGATATTTATTTCATAGGCAGTTTACATAAAGATAATTCATGTATTTAATATACTGATTATATATAGTCTCGCAAGAAAACCACTGAATACCATTACGTTAATTAACGACTTTTCATCCTTACAGACTGCTTATCAGGTTCAATGTTCCGTCTTACTTTCTTTGGGAATATGCACAGACCTGACTCGGAACAGGGAGCTTACTAAAGCTATGTTCAATAAATGTGGGAAGTAGACAAGATACACAGGAAGGGTATACGAAACCCTTTATTTTTCACTCTTTACAATGATTTCCGTACTTCGGAATACAGAGACCAACTACTTGTGGTCTGAACGTAAGAATATAAAAATATTTAACACTAACTCTACTTAACTTTTGGAATAATAAACGTAGAAGATTGGCCGGATATTAACAGGAAGCCGTATGTAGTACAGAGAACTGTTAACACTACAATACGTTTAAAATTATCACGAGGATTAAACCTCTGGCCTGGAAGGCAAACAGCAACTGAATAAAACTTCTGAGGCAAGCGGCCTGCTTCGACTAACTCCTTCCTCTCTCTCGCTTGGCAAAAAGCCACAACTTAAGCCAGACAAATTTTGCATAAGTAAGTTAACGCTTTTAATTCTGGCCGGAAGTAGAAAATAAGAAGTGATAGTAAAGATTTAAAATAAAATAAACGTTAGTAAAACTTAAGATCCTTACATGCTAACTAACTAGATCACAACTAAGTAAAAGTAAAAGTTTAAATTAAAGCTGTGTATTGACATATCGACCTGGCGGTTACACAAACTGAAACATCTGACAGAAATAAAACTCCGTTGGCTTGTGGATAATCACGCATCTTCGCACTTAAACCACATAAAATTTAATTCAATAGCAGTATCACGAAGTATTTAAAAACAACATATCTAGAGATTCAAATAGATAGTCTCGCGTAGACAGTCGCGCGATAATTCCCGCCCCCCTCGTATAGTATTGACATTGCTCACTTTGAAATCTTTGAGTTTGTTAATCAAAAATTCTTTATTGTTTAACAAAATATGAAATAGATAATAAAACAAATTCCAAGTTTGGGCTTTAAGATGCCCATATTCAAATGGAGGACTACGTTATTCAAAATTTGATGTCTCTAGGTACCGTTGTTTTTCACAGTGCGAGAAACATACATACATTCGTGCGGATTCTTCATTATTTAATTTTAAATGTAATGTAGGACTCTAATATTTGGTGGCAACAATTTGAAAAGTGAACAGACATTTATAGTGAACCGAAGGAAAATGCCGAAACGAAATCAATAGCCCTTCTGGGCAAATTGCTTCTGAACTAAAAATCCACGAATTCAACATGTAACCCTTTCAAATACAACATGTATCCATCATGCGTGCTTTTAAAAAACTTTAAAATAAACTCCCAGTATTTATTAGCTTAATTTACTAGCATACTGCTGATTGTAATCATTTGAGATCTATGATGAATCATTTCAGAGTTTACCTTAAACGTAACTTTCATGTGTTTTTGTCTAAAAAAATATTTATGCCAAAATTAGAGTAATATATAATAAAAAATTAGACCAATATAGAGCAATATAGAATGAAAAGGCTATATAATAAATGTCTGAGAAGGCCACGCGTGTGGAACTTATTTAGATACGCACGCGAATTAGAATTCCAGACTTAGAAACTGGGTTAGAATATTTTTTTTTGGTTGACAAAACATATCTAGTTTACTCGATCATTCCTGGAAACCTTCGTTGAACAACAGCCAAGCGCACGAGCGACAAAACTGGTTTCTGTGTACATTTTATTTATTTATTTATTTATGTCTCTATGACAAATTTTTAGAGAAGTAGCTTGCATAAACATCAGGGCTCCAAACGTAAAGTTGAAATTATTGAATTCTCAAAGAATTTTTGTATGATGATGGTTTTTTACTAAATTAGTTGTGAAAA